ACTTTTAATAACATTTTACTTATTTTTAATATAACAATAATTACTAAATTTATTAACAGTATTTATAATTTTAATTTAAAGTAAAAATAAAGTAAATATCTATTTATTAACAATATTTATAATAACAGTAATTATTAATTATAATCACTAATTACATATTTATTAAATTATTATAATAATAAATAACTATTAAAATCGATTTACTAAATTTATTAATAGTATTTATAATTTTAATTTAAAGTAAATATCTATTTATTAACAATATTTATAATAACAACAATTATTAATTATAATCACTAAGTATATATTTATTAAATTACTGTAATAATCAGTAATTATTAAAATCGGGTTAAAATAAATAGATAACAATATTATAATCGGTAATGGCAGTAATAGATAATAGTATTACTGCCATTTGGCAAAAAGGGAAGACCGCTCCTTTTGCATTAATATATATACTAGCGGAGGGGCCCCTGCGAGAATTGTAACATTGCTATTTGTTACATTAAAACAAACAATGGTTTCTTAATAAGAAACTTGCAATTATAAGTATTCAACTCTTGAAACTTATATAAAGACTTAAAAGAGATCATCATGTGCTCGTTTTTTAAATATTGCTTCAGTAAAGCATCTCATATAAAAGAACACGATCATACAATGATAGTTTTGATTTCTACTTCATAGTTGTCCTTTGCTTCACATTGAGAACTCCTAGTTGACCCAGACGGTAGGACTATTCGGCTCGGGAACCGTCTAGGCAAACGGTTCCATTTTACCCCAGACCTGATCCCTGGCCAAAAATCGTTGAATCAGTCAATGACCCGTTGACCTGGGCCATCGAATCGTCGACCCATTGACCCATTCAACAGGTTTTGGCCATTTCTATTTTTAATTATTTTTTATTTTTTAACTTTTGTTGTTAGAACGAGGCATCCATTCGAACCGAATGGTCGAACCATTAACCTGGAAATCAATGGCCAAAACAGTTCCATTTTTGGGTCATTTTTTCTAGATGTCAATAATTAGACGAAATAACTTTGTAGTCATAGTCATGGGAAGGGTAAACATTGCAAGGGATTCCAAAACCTTGAAAGATAAATCCAAAGTGACCTTAAACATAGAAAAAAATTGGCGGTAAATCCACCAAACTCGAAAAACCAAGGAAAAAAATTAGAAAATCGAGTCCAAAGTTCCACTTTAAGATGGAGTTAAACATACATGCAACCAAAGAAAGAGACAAAGCAGATCGTCTTGTAAGAAAATAAAAAAAAATTGCACAAGAAAACCCAAAGAAAAAACAAAAGGGAAGAAATAAAATGGTGGTAAACCCTAGACTGTTTTGGAGGATCTTGAAGAAGAAGACAACACAAAAAAAACAAAAGCAAAAAATAGAGAAAAATGAACATACTGTACACGCTCAAATAAAACCCATAGTAGAAGAAACCTTTGAATAGTGAAAATCCAAAAGCATGAAAAACCATGGCTTTCAAACTGCCGTTGACTCGGATGGACAAACATTTCGGCTCGGGTACTGTTTAGGCAACTGGTTCCGTTTTATCCCAATCCCGGTCCCTAGCAAAAAATTGTTGAATTGGTCAATGACCCATTGACCTGGGTGGTCAAATTGTTGACTCGTTGACCCGTTCAATGGTTTTTGGCTGTTTTTTAATTTTTGTTGTCAAAACGAGCCGTTCATTCAAACCATCAACCCAAAAACTGATGGCTGGAACGGTTCTATTTTTGGGTCGTATGAGTCACATGCTCGAATGACATAACACGCATGATATTGCTTAACGGACCTCACACCCTCAATTTTTTGCCTATAATTTTTGTTGTCAAAACGGGCCGTCTATTTGAACCGGATGGTCGAATCACCATTTTTTATTTTTTTAATTAGGAACCGTCCAGGCAACTAGTTCCGTTTTATCCCAATCCCAGTCCCTGGCCAAAAACCATTGAATCAGTCAACGACCCATTGACCCGAGCAGTCGAATCGTCGACCCGTTCAATGGTTTTTTTTGCCGTTTTTTAATTTTTGTTGTTAGAACAGGTCGTCCATTCGAACCAGGCAGTTGAACCGTCGATCCAAAAACTAGTGGCCGAATGGTTCCGTTTTCAAGTCGTATGAGTCACACGCTCGAATGACATAACACGTATAATACTGCTTAATGGACCTCTCACACACTCAATGTTTTGCTTGTAATTTTTGTTATCAGAATGGGCCATCTGTTCGAATTGGATGGTTAATTGTTGACCTGAAAATCAGTGGCTAGAACGGTTTTGTAATTTTTTGGTTGTAATTTTTGTTGTTAGAATAGGCTGTTTGTTCAAACCGGACAGTCCAACTGTCGTTGACATGTTTAATGTTTTTTGGTCATTTTTTTTTAATTTTTGTTGTCAGAACTGGTCGCCTGTTTGAACCACGGTCGAATCGTCGACCCAAAAACCGATGACCAGAATGGTTCCGTTTTCGGGTCATATGTCACACGCTCGAATGACATGATATGTATGATACTGCTTAATAGACCTTACACACTCAATTTTTTGCCTGTAATTTTTGTTGTCAGAACGGGCCATCCGTTCAAACCAGATGGTCAAACCATCGATCCAAAAATCGGTGGCCAGAATGATTCCATAATTTTTTGCTTGTAATTTTTGTTGTTAGAACGGATCATCTATTCGAACCGAATGGTCGAACCATTGAATCGTCAACCCGAAAAACTGGATTACAGATAAAATATACAAGATTCCTTATATTTGTTTTGTGTAATTTGAAAAATTTCAATAAAGAATCTTATATATATAAAAGATATAAATTAAAGAGACATGGATTTTTGGCTCCTATCGTGAAGAGTGGTTAATCTATAAATCAAATGAAGTTTTGTGGTTAGATGGTTTGCGAAGAAGACGTACAAGACAGACCCATAAGGCTCGGTGTCAAGCCACTTGGCACAGTCGGGCTTCGCCCACAGGCTGTTGGCGACCATGCCCTTGGTGAAACCAATGAGAAGATTGGTCCTATAGCAAAGAATGGCTTCTTCAGCTGCAGAGTCAAGATTGTCTCTAGTTCAAGTGTTGCATGTCACATGCAACTCAAACAGGTCAATTTCATGGAGAACACATTCCAATGTTTATTGATAATGAATAATGTTTTATTTTGAAAGGTAATTTTAACATTTTCAAAAGTTTTCATTCACACATGATGTACCGACGACTGATTAACAGTATGTCCTAAATTGGTACATTTTGAAAATTTAGACACTGAATTAGTATGTTTCAAAATTTAGAGGTGAAAGTGATACTAAATCTTAGTACAAGATACGCAATTTTCCCATTGGCAAAACTGTGATCCTATTAGGATTCCTGTTTAAATCCGGTCCAGGCCTTGCAACGTTGCCATAAAGGCCCATAAACAAGTACTGATAGTCTGATAGGCAGGTGAGTTTTAACCATATTACAAATTTACAATTACTACAAGGTGGAGCCCATGAAAAGACATGCGAAATTTTGTGGGCCACACTTGGTACGTTTCATGCAGTTGAGCTGCTTGCTATAATTATAATTCTTCTTCAGAGTATTATTTCAATGCAAAAAATGAAATATATCTGCTAGAGGAATGCTCCTAAACAAACACTCCAATCCAATAGCAAGACAGACCGGCCTGGCCGGAGGATCCGGACCAGCCAGCAGACCGGTCCAGGCTAGCCTCGGGATACCAAAACTATGCTTAGTGTTTTCTTGCAAAATGAGAAGGCCCATCTGTTGACCCAATGGGCATCTGAGTCCGTTTCTGAATTTGTGCAGCGTTTGGGAGACAAGACACAGTCACCATTCACCAACTCACCGCCCCTAGCAGTGTACCTTCTCTTCTTTCATCATATTCAGACCGTCGGATGGCTTTCAGAATTCAGACATAACCAACGGTCTGGCCCACCAACTTGTGGGCCCCCATCTGGACTTTCTCTGTCTCTCATCCTCACCACGTTGAACCATATTGCATCCTTCGTGTGTTTCTGAAAAACACGTGCACGGTTCGAATGGTGGGGCCATAACACATCTTGGTGATCCTTGAAGGCTTGAACCACAGTTGATTTTCATCTCTTCTTTATTTTGATTTTTGAAAATGGTAGGCTTGGTAAGGGTGCTCACAGCTCACGGTTCGGTATTTTTCAAACCGAACCGGTGTCATCGATTTTTTAAAAATCGTGAATCGAAATCAAAGTATCAAATCGAAGTCAATCAATAAATCGTTGGTTGATTTGGTTTTTAATTGGTTCGGTTTAACGATTCGGTTTTTTTTTCATTTATAATATATATTATAAGCAAATATAAAAATATATAATAAAAATACTGGTAGTTTTGATTAATCGTCAATATTTTCGATTTTCAAAAATAGCAAACCAAAATCAAACCTCTCCGGTTTGTCCAACCAGAATGTTTGGTTCAAGTTTATTGATTCGGTTTGTTTTCTAGGGTTTTTTTTTTTCATTTTTGATGATCAGCCTGGTGGATCACTAGATTTCTATTAAAATAATATAAATTCAACCGTTTTATATTCGAATTGGATATGCTCCTCACACCGACCTCACAGCCACGTTCTACCGAGTATTGGGAACATCCGAACATCTCACATAAATAATAACATTCAAGTACGATAGACGATCCCGATGTGCGGCGGATACGTGCTTTTAAGGTGAGTGTCAGGAGCGCTCTGAGGGGCAGATCCGGATTCTTATTATTCATATAATAAAATCATAGTCGTTGAATAGTTTTGATGTGCAACAAACGGGACGTGTACGACAGACTGCGAAATCCAATGAGGAATAAACACGTCAGCTATTGATATCTAAGTAACAATCTTGATCGCTAACGTGTTTAATTCTGATTGGATTTATAACTTTCTTTGTACAGTACTTTCAGTTTCTCAGTCAACACAGTTCCTGCTTTTTTTATTTTTAAAAGAAAAAAACGAAGCTTGCTTCAGTGAGTTCAGTCTTCAAAGTTCTCAGTTTTCCCCAGTCACGGTTCACCGGCGTCCTCCCCCAACCTTCTCCCTTTTCACTCTCTTTGGAACATTCATGGCGTCTCTGCAACTTTACTCTTTGTGCATAATATTCTTCTTCTGCTGCTTCTTCAATACACTTTCTCGGTCATCTTCGGACGTGGAAATTGTTCTGAGGAAGATCAAACCTTCGTTAAGGGGAGGTGCAGAGAATATGTTGCTATCTTCGTGGAGCACTGGTATTCCTGTCTGTCAGTGGAGAGGGCTCAAATGGGTCTTCTCTAATGGTACCCCTCTTAAATGCGATGACGTCTCTTCGCCTGAACGGAACAACATTTCTCTATTCAGAGACCCAACTCTGCAGCTCGTCTCTCTTCAGCTCCAAGGAGCTGGTCTCTCCGGTAAAATTCCAAGAGAAATCGGAGAGCTCTCCTCGTTGCAGAGTCTGTACCTTGGTGTCAACTCGCTCCAAGGAAACATCCCTCTTGAGCTTGGCTATAGCTCTTTACTCTCCGATGTTGATTTAAGTGGCAATTTCTTAAATGGGTCTCTCCCTCTTTCCATCTGGAACCTCTGTGACAGACTTGTTTCGCTTCGGTTGCATGGTAATAATCTTTCGGGTTCTCTTCCTCAACCAGTACTACCCAACTCGACTTGCAGGAACATACGGGTTTTGGATTTGGGCAACAACAGCTTTTCAGGGGAATTTCCGGAGTTTATAACTGGATTTCATAGGTTGAAAGAGCTTGATCTTGGGAGTAATCACTTCTCTGGTTCAATTCCGGAGAGTCTTTCTCGTTTAAAACTTAAAAAACTGAACCTTTCTCATAATAATTTTACTGGGGCTCTGCCGGTTTTCCGACAGTCGAAGTTTGATTTCAGGGTTTTTGAAGGAAACAATCCTGGGCTTTGTGGGTCTCCCCTGGCGAAGTGCAGGGGAAGCTCTGGTCTGAGCTCCGGCACCATTGCTGGTATTGTGATTGGATTGATGGCCGGTGCTGTGGTTTTGGCCTCAGTACTAATTGGTTACGTACAAGGGAAGAGGAGGAAAAGCAGGGGAGGAGATGAAAATGAGATAGAGGAAGGAGAAGATGAGGAGAATGGAGGTGGTGGTGGCTGTGAAGGTAAGCTTTTATTGTTTCAGGGTGGTGAGCATTTGACATTGGAGGATGTACTGAATGCTACTGGTCAGGTAATGGAGAAAACCAGCTATGGAACCGTTTACAAGGCCAAACTTGCTGATGGAGGAACCATTTCTCTGAGACTGTTGAGAGAAGGTAGTTGCAAGGATAGAGCTTCATGTTTGCCCATGATTAAGCAGCTTGGCCGAGTCCGCCATGAAAATCTTGTTGCACTCCGAGCTTTCTACCAGGGACAGAGAGGGGAGAAGCTCCTCATATATGACTATCTCCCCAACAGGACTCTCCACGATCTTTTACATGGTAAGTGTTTGTTCTTTTCCTCGCCTCTGCATTGTTTACATGTTGTTGATTGTTTTATCTCAATGGCCTTGTTATTTGATGGATGGGATCATGGGAATGGAAGTTCTTCTGATCACTTAATGGGCAATGAGATTTTATGTAATCAAGAACCAATCTTCTAGGACTGCAGAAATGTAACTGAAATTTCCTATGTTTTGTTTAATTAATCTATTTGTTGGTCTAAATCAGAAACCAGAGCTGGAAAGCCAATGTTGAATTGGGCTCGTAGGCACAAAATTGCATTGGGTATAGCTAGAGGACTTGCTTATCTGCATACAGGAATGGAAGTACCAATAATCCATGGGAATGTGAGAGCCAAAAATGTCCTAGTGGATGATTTATTTGTGGCCAGGCTAACCGAGTTTGGGCTAGACAAATTGATGGTGCATGTTGTTGCTGATGAAATAGTGGCATCTGCAAAGATTGATGGGTACAAGTCTCCAGAGTTACAGAGAATGCAGAAGTGCAATTCAAGGACAGATGTATATGCATTTGGTATACTGCTGTTGGAGATTTTGATAGGAAAGAAACCTGGTAAAGATAACCGAACCGGGGAATTTGTGGACTTACCATCACTAGTGAAGGTGGCAGTGCTGGAGGAGACGACGATGGAGGTTTTCGATGTAGAGGTATTGAAGGGAATACGGAGTCCGATGGAGGATGGCTTGATTCAATCACTGAAACTCGCAATGGGTTGCTGTGCTCCAGTGGCCTCTGTCAGACCTACCATGGATGAAGTTGTTAAGCAGTTGGAGGAGAGCAAACCCAGGAATAGATCTGCATTGTACAGCCCAACTGAAGCAAGGAGTGAAATAGGTACTCCTTTTTAAGATTTTATTTTTCAACAAATTTTGATTTCTTTGATCTCTTCTCCAATGAGGGGTGCTTGTTGATGACATTTTGTGAATAATCTTGTTGTAGTTCATGGCACTTCCCCTTGAATTAGTATGTTGCAATCTTAATGAGTCTACTTGTTCTTGTCTAAGTGCCTAACAATGAAGAAGCCCTCTTGCTCCAAACCCACCTTGCAAAAAATGGTATAGCAGTTACAGGCAAAATGGTTAGAACTATTTCAATTGGCATGCAGCTTCATCTGAGATGGTCCATTAGCTGAAAGTGTTTGTGTCTCAAGTTCATTCTGTCAAGCCTGCATCATGATTTTGTAGATCTTGTAAAGCATGATGCCTTATCTGTACGATTTGTAATCTTCCCACATGAAGGAAGCTTTTGGGTTTTCTTTTTGCCTGTGAATGGGAGCTGTTAAACCTGTCGAGAGTCTTGAGACATGAACTTGGCTACTTGTCTCTTGCTCTCCTCTGTTGAATCTCCCTTTGTTTTACATTGCTTTGGACCCAATATATTTGCATTTATCCAAGATTAAGACAACGCTTATTAATTGTCCATTCAAGTACAACGTCAAAACCATGATCAAGTTATGGATTCACAAGGGAATGCTTCCAAGGCTTGGTGTTCTGAAAACTCAGAAAACTATGGAATGCCTTGGTTTTTTGTCCACTCCAGTTATTTGGAAAGTCCGTGACAAATGGGTAGATAAGCTTGCATGGATTTCACATCTGCTGTCACTATATCTTGCGAGTTGTGAAGCTTGTGACCCCCAAATAAAAGAGTTACAATACCAAAACCCTTTTGTTTGAAATTCTATGCAGCAGAGTGATCTCTTTTTGATTTGATTGTTAGGTCATGTTTGTGAGTGCCTAAGTTAAAAATAAGTGTTTATTTGAATAAGCACTTATTTGCATTTGGTACCCAACTTTTTCAAGTGTTTATTTTTTTATTTTATATTGAGCGTTTGATAGTCTTTTTCTCTAATAAGCACTTAAATAAGCATTTGTGACTACTAGTAAGCATGCATATGCTTTGCATGTGATGATTCTAGATGATGATAATGATAGTAATAATGTATCCAAAAATTTCTATAAATATGTATTTTTATTTTTTATTTTTATATATTTTTTGCTTTTTATTATTAATCGGATGCATGTTGTAAAACCCAAATCTAATTACATAAACACCTTATCTAAATATGTGATAATTGGATCAAGTTTGTTAAGTTTCAAGTATCATTGACAGGTCTACCTACTTGATTAGATTCTTATTTTTATAATGTTTTATTTTTTGGTTTTTTTTTTCTGTTCATTTATAAAAAAATGTAAGATTTAAATAGACAGAATTAAATGAGGTGAAAAGTAATAGTTCAATTTACAATTTAAACCTCACAATTAAATAGAGATAAATTAAAAAATGAGTATTTTAGTAAAAAGAAAGTTCCACAATCTTATATATATTTTTAATAGTAGTGTAAATGTAGAATTATATATGTATTCAATTTTTTTTCTATATATTTTTTATATTTTTGTGTAAAATAATTCCAATATGTCACACTTACTTTTTGTTTAATATGATAATTAATTAATATTATACATGTGCCTAAATGATTTTTTGCAACATTTATTTATTTTTTTCCATTTTTGTATTTTTATATTTCATTAATTTTTATTATTTATTTATGACATTAAATGTTAATACATTTGACTTAAAAGTTGAACTATTGATCTTTGCCAAATAGTAAAAATAATTTCACTTTTGGTCAATTCTAAAGTATGTTTCATTATCAATAAAAATAATTTTATTACGCTTATTTTTTAATTTGATTAATAAAAGTATCATAAAGTTTAAGTTTTCTACATTTTGTAATTTTCTATATTTATTTTATTTTAAAAATTTTATTACCTAATTATGACTTCATAGGTTTATCAATTTGATTCAAATGATTGAATTGCTTAGCCGTCACTTGGATAAAGAATGTTTTTATTTTTTAGCCAGTTTTAAAATGTATGAATTTATATTGTTAAAAGTATTGACATATCTAATTAGTGATTCATCCAACATAGGAAGGCCCCTGAGATGCACAAAGCACCCAAGACAATCAAACTTGTCTATGGCTGCAATCACATCAACAAGAATGGTTTTACTAGCTAAGTCTATCCTTCTTTCACCTCTGCCAAGTTGCATAAGCTGAATGAATTTCTGGTTATTTTTCAGCATTTTATAAAAGTACTTTATGAAAGTACTTCTATATTATTTGTTGTTGTTGTTACAAGAAATTACTTTTTCAACTCATTTATTGTATTTTCTTAAATAAAATAAATTATTTAATAGTGTCACGTGAGACCATATGTGTTGTGAGCATTAGAATTGTCATTTCATCGAAATGGTTAATATGCAAAAATTAGTACTTATTGGTTAAGTGGTTCATCAAACACTAACTCAAATAAGTACTTAAAATAAGTTTAAGTTGTTTGAAAAGGACCCCCAAACAATAATAACTACTTATTCAAATAAATACTTATTTCTTAAACCACTTATTTGCCCAACATACCTTTAATAGGTTTGGATAATCAGTTTAAGAATCATATCCAATAAACTAGATTTGATCAATATTCGGATTAGACATGGATGACACTGAACATGAACTTGAGCTTTTTCATGGATGACACAATAAGCTAGATTTGAACTTGTATTTGCTCAGATCTTCTCAAACACAGTCTGTTTCATACCCAAGCTTTTGTCCATTCATAATTTGTCAATTCCGTACTAGTCACGTTGATTTAGGCTATGATTTGGGGAGGCCCAACCTGAACTTTAGCTTTTTCATGGGTCGGGCTTGAATTTTTGGGCTATGTTTTGAACTTGGGTCTAAACTAAATTTAATTGGGTTTAGATGGAGGCCTTAAGTAGTCCGTGTCTGGCCCAACCCAACCCGAGCCTGCCTTTCACTGTATATGCAATTATCATATACATAATATATACACATATTATGATTAACCTAAACAGCGAGTTATTTATATGTAAGTATTCTTTTCTAACCATGTAACACATGTATACATGTATGTATAAATTTATCAATGAAATTTGTGCACCTTTTGAGTTCAATTACGGTGTATTCAAGAATATTTGTTGCATGTCAAGTAAAGATTTCAACCAATTACAATAAAGATGTTATATGATTTAGTTATTTTTTATTCGTTAATATTTATAAAGTATACTTTTACGTTTTACAAGATGTACTTATCATCAAAACTTTAATAACATAGAAGATGTCAACTGTAACTGTATTGTTTTATCATTGGTTCATATTTTTTGTTGCATGGTGCAGTTGATGCACTATAGGTTTTTCTACTTTTTAATCTATGTTACTTCTAAATTGGACCAAAAAGCCCAATAAAAATGCTACATGTGAAACACATTATGAAAACATTCAAACCTGATCACCAACTCACCTAAGCCTGACAAAGCCTGCTTGGACCTAATCTGGGTTGTGTTGGGTTAGGCACAATTTTGTAAATTTGTGTTTGACCTAGGCTCAGTTACCAGCCCAAACCTCAGGTCTTAAGTTTTAGGGTTGGTCCTAACCAATCCAAGCCAACCCACCCAAGCTGCACCTTAGGATATATGGTTTCCAACCACATAAGATAGGGAAATAAAAGGAAATTAGGAGCAAAGAGTTGGTCAAGTAATCTGAGAAACTAACCCTACTGTATCTGAGGCTTTAAGCTTGTCCGAAATCATGAAAGCTAGCTGCATGGTTTTGGTGCAAGCTTAGAGCTTTCCTTGGAGTTTGGGCTTGAGTTTGAGAATTTATCCCATTTTAGGCAAATTCGGATTTTATCCTCACACCGTCCTCACAACCCTTGCAGTCGTGCATGGAAAATATCTTTCCATGAATAAACATATAAATACAGAGATGTTTCCAATGGATGGCTGTAAGGGTTGTGAGCCAGTGTGAGGAAGATTTTGAGGATGCAATCCGAATTCATTTTAAGCATATATGTTTGGGCCAGAAAAGTGCAATTGTTAATGGAACTATAATTAACCATTAAGACTGAAACTTACTAACCTAAACCTTTCTAAATTTGGACTAATAGGAAGTTAGTTTCTATTGGCTAGGTTACCCTAATCCTTAACCCAAACTTAACATTTCTGTAAACCAGACCTGACCCACTTAGGAGGTGTTTGACTACGATACTGGAAAAACTTATAATCAAGCAATTGGTATTATAAAAGTGGTAACTAATCAGGTGGTATTAATAAAAATCCACGGAGGGTTTTGATTGATACAAGGTTTTTAAAACCGGACTGGATAGGGAATCACTTTGGGGTCTGATTTCCGGGTCGAATGGTCTGACCGTCCGTCTGAGTGGATGGCTCATTTTGACAAAAAAATAAAAAATTAAAAAGACAAAAAATGACCATAAACCATTGTCCGGGTCAATGGTTCACTAACTAAACAATTTTTGGCCAAAAAGTGGTTTTGGGGTCAAACAGAACTGATCAGGTGACCGATTCTCATTTTTTCGGTCCGACCATCCAATCTGAATTGGTTTTGAAAACACTGGATTGATCAATGCTTTTCTAAAATGATACCTTTTTGGCATCATAAATTTATCCAATAAAACAACTGGTATGTTAGCAAAAATAATACATTTTTATTGATGTGGCAGTTGTTTGTTTATTAGCAAACAAAACTCTTTACATTCACTAGGAAAAACTTTGGCTGTGCGGTAAAACTTAAAAGAGTAGTTGCAACCAATATTCTTAGTCAAGGACAGGTAAAGAACTAACCGAGTGGGGTAACAAGCCATGCGCGCAGAAAGCTGAAGCTATTTTTTCTAAACAACAAAAGCTTTTTCCTATTAGGAGTGCAACTTGGACTGACCTAGTCCACAATTTTATACAAGATGGGCTTGAATTTTTGTTCTTGGGATAGGTTTGGGCCAAAAAATTTGAAAATATTTATTTTTATTTATTTTTCGTTCTGCACGATATAGTTTAAGAGATACTTTAGGAGAGGGCAATATTTTAGAAGGAAGTAAGGATAGGAATGGAAACGGGGCGGGACACTCCTTCCCTATCCCCGTGGATAAAATCCCCTAACCCGTTCCCGCTGCATCCCCGATATCGGGGCAAGAATTCAACCCCCATCCCAGGCCCGGTCGGGCCTGGAGAATCCCGGGCATATCCCTGCCCCACAACTACTGAACCTAGGGACGAGGAATCCCCGATATATCCCCACCCCACAACCCTTAAGGGGTTAAGCAAAGATGAGTCCATTATTTAGATTCATGCTATGATGTGGACAATATAGACTGAGAGGAACCTAAGGACTTTTGAGAATAAACTTGAAATTGAAGATGCACTAAAATTTGTTGATGGTTTCAAACAATTAAGAAGAAATAACCATTCTGATATCAAACAATTAAGAAGAAATGATAGAATGCAACAGCCAACAACTACCAGTTGTTCCCATTAGACATGTTAATAAAATCAGTAAATCCCTTTCCACCACCCACT